GAGGTCTTTCCCTCCCCACGGACTCCCCTCCTTCCCTGCCCTCGCCTTTCCACGCCTGTCCTCCTCTCCTCCTCTCCTCCTCTCCTCCTCTCCTCCTCTCCTCCTCTCCTCCTCTCCTCCTCTCCTCTCTTCCCCCAACTCCCTTTCCTTCCTCCTTTCTCTCTTCGTCTCCTTTCCATCCTCCCCTGATCTCCCTCTCTCCTCTTCCCACTTCCGTTTCCCTTTCCTTCCTCCTTTCTCCTCTTCTCGCACCTCTCGTTTCACCTGTCCTTTTCGCAGTCGCCCCCAGCCTGACTTTCCACAGAGAAATTCGACGAGGACATTCCTGCTGTACCTCTCTGGGTGCGGCGAAGGAGGAGAGACGGTGAGAAGGAGAGGAGGAGGATGTTGAAGGGAGCACGAGGAGGGAGCAAGCAAGGGAGGAGGGAGTGGATCGGGGGGGTAACGGAAGTTCTAGGTGCTCCTCGAGCGGGAAGGACGGAACGTTCCGACGAGTGGGGAAATCCTTGGGACAGCAAAGCCGATGAGGTGAGGGGGAATGGAGAGAAAGAGGAGGGGAAGCAGGAGGGGAAGCAGGAGGCCGCAGGAGAGTGGAGGTGGGTGGCTGAGAAGAAGACAAGAGAGGAAGCGAGCGAGCGAGGGGCGGGAGGAGGAGGACCTGAGGGAGGACCTGAGGGAGGAGGCTCTGATTGTCTCCACGCAGAGGTCGACTCCTGGTTTTTCCTCATGTCTGTCCGCATGCTGGGCTGCCAGTGATCGATGCGCCCAAGCTGCTGCTGCGAGGAGAGCTCTACTGAAGAACAAGGAGAGAAGAAGAGAGATGGGAGGGGGTGCAGGACAGGACAGGACAGGACAGGACAGGACAAAATAGGGAGAGGAGGGGAGAGGGAAGAAGAAGAGCGGGAAGGGACTTACATAGCAGGAGCTGGCAAAGTACAAAAAGAAAAGTTGATGGTGGTTGTGGATGGAACCATGAAGACCGTAGTAGATCGATGTAACGAATGACAAACTTTGTTTACTAAATATTAGGAACACTGTAAGAAAGAAAGACACAAACATGCGACGACACAAGCTGAAGATCTCAAGGACATAAAACATCATCTTCAGTTCGTCGTTCAATCTTCCCAATCATCATCATCATCTCTCACTTCAACTGGAAGACAAGCAGAGTACATCATCATGTAAACAAACATCTACATCTTAAACTCATCTTTTACCGATAGACCCACTCCTCATAGATACCCTTATAGATAGTCGTCTCTTCCCGATCCCGGGGAAAACTGTTGAATGCATACCCACGAAATTAGTTCCGCTTCTGCGATTTTTCTTGTTTTTTTTGAAATTTCCTCTGCCTTTTTGTGTAGTTTTTCGTTTGAAAATTGACAACCTTGGAAAACCCTTCCTCATGATATCCATACATACTTGTTGACAAGATAGCAACATTATACCTTCACATCTCAGAGAGTCAAGCCCCATCCTTCTCCTCCTTCCACCGTCTCCTCCTCCTTCCTCCACCACATCATCTGCCGCCATAGCTCCCCGAAGGCAGCCCAGTGTCAAGTGTCCCGAACCCGCTGTTGCTGGAGCCGTCAACAGCGCTGAACATGGAGTCGCCGAGGTAGCCATGATTGTCGTACTGACCCGAGGGAAGGAAGTCCGTGCTAGGCATGGAGGACATCCAGCCGCTCTGATCTGCCACGTTCCATCCTTCATTGGGCAAGCCCTGTCGCTGCATGGCGTAGAAGGGAGGCATGTTGTTCATAGGCATTCCCCCGTTGTACGAGCCCATCTCAAGCTGCTCCCCGTCATGCAAGCTCGGCTGGAAGAACTGCCAAGAACGTTCAGCTGCTGCTGTCTCCCACTCCTCCTCCCCGCCTCCAGCTCTACGTCCATCCTCCCTCCTCCCTCACCTGGTTCTCGGCATTGCCCATCATGCCGTTGAGGAGAGGACGCTGTTCCATCCCCATGGTCTGCCAACTTACGTCAACTTTGTTTCCACCTGCTCTCCTCCTCCAAGACCTGGAGCTGCTGCTGCTGCTGCTGCTGATCGATCAGTTTGCCCTGCGTCGAGAGCATATAGGCGACGCTGTTGGGCTTGCGAAGTTCATCGTCGCCATGGGCAAACCAGCATCTGAAAAGATGGTTAGGAGAATGTGTACAAGAAAGATCCCTCACTTTGCGCCTCGCGGGCAGTTGGGCCAAAATTTGCACATTTTGGTCTAGCAGGAGAGAGTCTTAACAAGAACAGCAGAAAGCAGAAGAAAGCCAACAGCATGTTGGTTGCAGAGCAGAAATTTTCATCCTCCTTCTCGATCAAACAAGGCACCCACAGACAAGCAGCGACTTGATTCGCACCTTGAACAACCAGGGCTCCTTGTTCGGCTCAATGATCTGCGATTTCCCAGCCATGGAAGACCCACCGAATCCCTGAGACAGCAAGACTGTCAGCACGACTCTCGTTGACCGCAGCTGCGTTTCTCACATATGGTCCGTTAACGCCAACATTGAAGTTGTTCCCTAACAGACGTTGAGAATGTCGAAGATCAGACAGAATAACAAACGATACCTCCTGATATGTTAGCGTGGAAGCTACGAAGACTTTCTTCGATCTGCGAAATGGAGAACCTGACAAACAGGAGAAATTACATCTTCGCATCATCATCTTCTCGCTCCCTCACCCCATGTTGGACATGCGATCAATGAACTGATTAATCTCTTCATTGTTCTCTCCCGCAAAGAACTGGTTCAGACTTTCCGCTGTAGCAAGGGGAGCAAGACCAGCCGAGCTGGCAGGCGATCTGAAGAAAAACCTTAAGCTGACGAATGATAATGCTTTGTTCCTCCTACCCTCCTCCTTGAAGAGCGACCGGAGAGTCGGTTCCGTTAATGAGGTAGATTTGAGTTGCGTTCAGTTTGCCCGTGAAAGGATTCCGCACGACTAGGAACTCGACTTCATCTCCGGCCATGAGAAGACGGTTAGCTCGGACCTATAAACAAGGATGTCACTGGTTTGTAGCAAAGGTAGTGAGACTTGAACCTCGCTGCCATGATAGAACAAATCTTCAGCATGAGATGCTGACTGGATGAAGCCATAACTCTCCTTCACCCACTTGACGATTCCCATCTCTCTGTTGCCGCGAATCGATGCGACGATCTGCTTGCCGTTCTGCTGAACCTGACAACACCATCAATGAGCAACCTGCTGGTTAACAGCAGGGCCGATGATAGTGAACCATGTGCGAGTGTTAGGTTATAGTGGTGAGCGGATGGGATATAGAGGGTTAGAGGAGGTCTGGTCTTTCTTGATACCTGCACGAGCCCCGCCTGTGCAGCCTCATTGATGTAGTCAGCTACGCTGTTCACCCCGAGCCGAGTTTGCCAGTCGGGCACGAGAGACGCAAGCTTCTGTGAGATCAGCTCGACGTCCATCTCCTTCACCTGCGCCGCGAGGTCAACAAATTTGGCTGAGGGCCCGCAAGCTTACGTTAGTCGCCACTAAATGATCGCGGAGGATCTGAACCAGCGGAGAAAACCTTGCCTAACGGGAAGTGAGCGAGGAGGGAGAGAAAGATCCTTTATCACCTGCTCGTGCGAGCGTCGTCCGTTACTCTGCGGTCCGAACTGCCCGAGGCCGAATGCAGGATTCATATTCATACCTACAAAGTCTTGTCAACGCCCTGCGACTGGGTGAAGGGAACTTCACCTGGTAGAGCTCCTGGCTGCTGAGGCTGCATGCCCGGCATGAGGTTCTGCTGTTGCATCATGAACTGCCGAGCGAGAGGCTGCATTGACGCCCAGTTTGCGTTGTTGTTCGCCGGAATGTTGTTTGGAAGGAACCCTGGGTTCGGAACCTGATTGAAGTCTGTCAAGCGATGTCGTCCTGTACCGCGTCAACGTTCGACCTGGTTGCCCGAGATTTGCCCTGGGATCTGAGTAGCGGCGAGCATTCGCTGAACCTGCTCGTTCCACATCTGCTGCAGCGATCAGGGGAGGGACAAGGCAAGTGTTGACCGGCACCTGCAGCTGCTGCCCGTTGAGCGGCGGCATGTCCATCACTCCGCCATTCCCGGGCTGCATGTCACCTTGGGGTCTGAGGTTCATGTTGTCATGGAGGTGGAGGTTCTGGTAGACAATGTCAGCGGAGAAAAGGCAAGAAGGAGGAACAGACCATCTGGTTCCCGTTATTGTTCTCCTGCTGACCCACCACAGCATTCCTGGCTACCTCGTGGTCCATCCCCTTTCCTCGTAGAGACATCTGAGACATGGATGACATCATGTTGTTCATGTTGGCATGGTCCACGCTAAGGAAAACTTTCATTCTCTCGCAGTACGATATGCCATACACGACCTGGTATCGGGCTTTACAGCCCCGTGATCGTTCTCATCGCCCAGCACATCGAGCACGTTTCTGCGGAACAATTCCTCCATGTGATCGACCTCTCCTGCTTCTTCCTGCTGACCATTCATATTTCGGCCTCTTCCTTGTGGGGCTTTCAAGGAAAGTCACTCCTAACATCAGGCGCATTCAAAGTGTCCAGCTCACCATCCTCTGCGCATCGAATTACAAGCTTGTCTCCTGCCATGATCTCATCCAATTCTTCCAAGATTGTTCCTCCATCAAGAGTCTCCACGCTGATGATTCGATTTACATTGAATTTCCTAGAGACAGCCTGTGCCAAACAAGTCAAAAGCAAATTTCTCTTTCGCGCGCTCATCACATTCAGAAACTCTTGCCAAGTATCTGGAACAATCAAAGCTTTCCCCTGTTCATTCGCTTGGAGGGGAGCATCCGGAGCGCACTTATACACCGTCACTCTCATCTTCTCAGTAGAGCTCAGGCGGCCTCTTGGAGGCGTGTTGGTTGGCCTCGCGCGCTGAACTGACGAACCAGCCGGCTCCTTGGCCGTGCTCACACCTATTTTCATTCCATTCGCAGCACCTCTTCCTGCACTTTTCATTTTCATGCGCTCTATGGTTGACTTCCTGAACTGGAGAAAGAGGACGAACCGCGGCCACCGGAGAGGTTCCAAGATCTCTGGAGAATATCCAAGATCGCTGGAATATGGAAAGCTCTGGGAACAGGATGTTGTCAGAGGCTTGCCAACTTTGATCGACATGCTCCGAGCATTTATCTGCGTTACACAGAAACATCTTCTCTATCCTAATACAATGTTGACTGTCGATACACAGGCCTTGTGAGGACTAGCAACAAAAATGAACTTGATCAATTATATGATTGATTTGCCTTGTCTGCCATTTCCGTGCTTTCAGGTTGGATCGATTCAATATCTAAGGGTGTGGCAATAAGGATCCAAACACTTAGAGATGGTGAAATACAACAGAACATCTAGGTGATCAATGTCTTCAGAAGCAACTGCTTTCAATCTTAGGCACTGGGAGAAAAATGCAGTGGCATGAATGATGCATGAAGGTTTGAGTGACATAAACTCATCAGTGAGGGTTGAGGTAAAATTGAAGAACAGTTGCAAGTTCAGCTACAAGAAACGGAGCAGCAATCTTAATGAAAAACTTCCTACTGACAAAATTTGAACCAGTCAACCGCATGATTTCTACACTGTTGTTGGAGAGTATTGGCACAAGAACGGCAGGTAAGGCAATGGAGGGATAAACTGCGATGGGAAAGAGCACGAGGATAAGCAAAAGATCAGCATAGCGCAGTCAGATGGGCAACTAAGAGCATGAAGGGCACGTGGTAGCGGCGGAGGCGGCGGCGGAAGGGGATTGACGCTTGAGCAGGGTAGGTGGGGTGCTTCAAAGCATTGAATAGGGGGTGGTCTTTGTCCTAGGCAGTGTTGAGGTAGGGGTCCTAGAAACTTTATAGCGAAACCACTGCCAATAGATATGTAGGAGCGGGTCAACCCGGAAGGGGTAGTGTGAATCAATGGAAATGGAGAGAGAGGTGGGTAGTGCTGGGTGAAACAGGGGGTTGTCAAACATTAATATCTACAGACATAGGGTGGGTCATGCCGCAGTGCAGCCCGAGTAATTTGGTCATAATCGTCGATGCAAATGGGGTGGGTAGTGTTATTACCTTTCAACATCAAGGCCTTTCAAGGGGGGTGGGGTACAAAGTTCAAAAAGTACCCGTCCTAAAATGCGGTCAATACACGGTGGTCACGGAGGGGGTCACCACGGTACCTCCTGTGCCATGGGCTAAGAAACTTGAAAGGGGGTCGTCAACGGGGTGACCAGGGAGGGACTTTCAAAATGAGTCTAGTAAGGGGGGTCCTCAGTCTGAAAGGGTGGGGTCCTTGGGCTCAATACCTGCTGCTAGGAGGGGTGAAGGCTCCTATGTTATAATGGCCGCGCCCTATGAAGGTGGTACCAAGGTAGCAATAGGTGGGTACCATCATCTTACCGGGCGGCAGTGGCAGGGGGGTACCACCGGTGGTCGTAGCGGAATGCAACAGAGCTAAAATCAGTTTACTCTTTCGGCACAGAGGCTATTGAGTGACCCCCCATTTTGAGCGTTCAAAAGGGGGGTCCTGTTAGCTCGTGGAGTCGGGTAGTGACTCCATCAGGAGGCTTCAGTTTCAAGGGCCCGTTGAAATTCTTCTCTCACTTTTCAAACTTTTCCTATGACATCAACCAGACAGAGCCGCTCAAACAGTGACCTCTTGTGAAATCAGAAAGATTGAGGTAAAAGGTTTACTCAACTTGTCAATTGCCGTCCATTTTTCCGATCAGTTGACTAAACATTTTCTCAAAATGCGAACGAAAATAGATCGGCTCAGTGAGTCACAGGCTGAGTGACCGGGTGGCCCGTGAATCGGCTCTCACTGCCGTGGACCCCGGGACCCGGCGTGACGGTGAGCGGCCTCAGGCCCGTACTCCGCCGGGCAGGGACCATCCGATGATCCGGAGGCTGGCGGGCAGGCCACTGGCGGGGGCCGGGCCGGTGGCGGCGGCCGCACCGTCAGTGGCAAGGCCGCGGTTGGCCACAGGGCCAGCCTCAGGGCGGCGCAGTGCGTGGCCCGAGGCCGCCGCACTCCGAGGCTCGAGCCGCGTAGTACCGTCCGATCCCGAGGGCCGTACTAAGTACTCAAAACCACTCAGTGACTGCACTGCGGCAGGACCGTCGGCCGCCACCGCCGGCCCGGGCCTGACAGTCACGGCGGCGGTCGCCGAGTCGCACACCGTCACTGCTGCCCCCGGCAACTAACTAAGTTGGCAATCATGCCCTCGGCCGGCCGCACTGGCCCGGTCCTCCGGGCTCGAAGCTGATGTCTAAGTTTCGAAATATTTACATGCAAGCACTGTCATAACCGTGAAAGTCTCACTCACAACGGTGAGAGAGGTCGCGGACTCGTCGTTGACTATGCCATGATGCCGCAGTGCATTCAACGCCGCCGCCCGGCGACCGGCCGGTAACCGTTGAACCTCGAGCTCTTAAAAGTGTCTACTTGCCGCCCTCAAGGAGGGCGAGGACGTCCGAGCTCAAGTTCATCATCCTGGCGATTGACTGAAGGGAAAGGATGAGCCCCAGCATACGTTGCTTCCTCCTCCGAGGGAGGCTCCTCCATCACCTTGGGGGATTCCTCGAACGCGTTCTCAGCATCTGCATCCGCCCCTGTTGACAACTTTGAGATGCAAACAGGAAGGGAGAAAGCTCTGCTCGAGCCAACCAGCTTCCACGAGAACCCGGATGACGTCTGCTCCAGCTCGTCAGATCCAAGGGCACAACTCAGAGATCGGATCGGACCTTTGTTCTGGTTGATGACGGCGACATGCAAGCTGTTTCAAGACAAAGCATCAGGCTACACGTGCGCTTCTTCACAGATCTCCTCACGGCGTGTTGGACTCTGGAGTTGTCGAGGCGACACTTGCTCCCTTCTCGAGCAGCATCCTGGCCAGATCAGCATGTCCAAACATGCTGGCGATGTGAAGCGCCGTAGTCCCTCCAGAGGTCTTCCCGCACCAACACAGTCACTATGAAAGTGCTACTTCAGTCCTGGTCTCATGTACCTGATCACGGTTCCGATCTGCAAGCCCGGACAGCTCGTAGGAGTCGTCAGTCTGCACCGAATCTACTGCGATTCCGGTAGCGATGAGCTCCGACACCCTCGCCACGTTCCCGTCCTCTGCCGCAATCCAGAAATCCTGAGGGCACATGAGACGATGTGAACTAGCAGGGAAGAAGTTGCGAGTGTATAGGGGAGAGAGAAAGTAGGAAGGGAAGGATGGGGGTCGGGAGAGGTGTATGGCGATCGCGAACAACAGTAGGGCAGGGGAAGCAAGGAAAGAACGCCGTTGAGCACCTGCATCGTCTCTTCGGAGACCCCCTCACTGTCCACCTCAGCTGCTGCAGGATGTCAGCTGAAGATGTTGCTGCGGCAACGGAGCTCCTACCCATTCGGAGCAGAGGGGTCATGAGGGAGCGGGCTTTCACTGCACTCGCAAGCCGTGTAATGCTGCTGCGAGGGATAACATGCTTGCTGACATGCCTGCTCACAGTCATGCTGAATGATTGTCAGCTGAACATGCACAACAAAACGATAACGCGTAAGAATAGTGTTCACCATGGAATGCGGGAGAAAGAAAAGGACTCTGCAAAGGTACCGTCGTTAGGATCAAACAGTGGAGGACGGGTTGGCAGTAGACAGCAATATCTAGATAGGTGTGCATCCAAGGAGGACCATACCACTACAACAGCAAAAGAAAGCAGATGAGAATCATTGCATGGACGGCCATCCAGCTCATCAGGAGCACTGAGGAGAGGAGGGAGAAATCATTCGATCCCGAAGGGCAGGAATGCTTGCTAAGGATCATCATCAACAACCGCTACATTCACGTAGCGGGACATGATGCAGCATACCCGCGATGTTGGCCATCATGAGCAGAGAGAGGATCGCAACCGAGCTCACTCCTCCTCCTCCTCCTCCTCGCGCCCTTGCCTGCTTCACTGCCATAGCGGCCTCCATGACACTTTACACGCCTGCTACCCACCCCTGCTCAAACCAGAATAGGAGGGGTAGAGTCTACCAAAATAATGCGAAGACGAGGAGGGGGAGGGGGAGGATAAGGATGAGGACGAGGACGAGGACGAGGACGAGGATGAGGATGAGGACGAGGATGAGGGTGGGAGTGAGGGGGAGAGAGTGAGGGGGAGGAGGAGGATATCATGAAGTCTACTTTGATGATGTCCGTGTTGATGGGAGGTTGTTCTATCGGAATCTCAAAATTTCATCATAGATACATCGCATGTTATGCTGTGTGCATGACGGTTCAAACCCGCTCCCTCTCACAACCCACAACTCCATCCCCTCGTTCTCATCTCTCAGTCTTCTCCTTCACTTCCTGGGCCATAGATCAAATCCATTTCCCCACCAAACATTCGCATCTAGCACAAACGTCAGCTTCCTGTACTGCCCCCATCTCCTCTCGCGTGCCCCTCCTTACCTTCCCACTCCTCTGAGCGTATGATCGCTGACACTGCAGCTGCCTCAGCGGCTGCAGGAAAAACTTTCGCAGCTTCGCCTGCCCTCGCATACTTCCTCCTCCGGTCAGATCGTCCTGTCCCGTCGTCACGCGCTCAAGACAGGAAATGAGAATTGGCAGGTGCAGGAAACCAGAACGAAGGGGAAGGGAGAGAGAGGGAGGAGAAAAGCGGGAGGAAGGTGGAGGTTGGTAGGCGCAGAAAGCAGGAGGACAGGGGAGGAAGGTGAAATTGACCGCACCCGGACATCGAGCTGTTCGAGGACAGACTGAAACTCTAGTAGAAGATCGAGGTGACGGTCAGAGAGATCCAAAAGCTCCTACGTGAGCACGTGGTGAGGCAAAAAGATCAACATGCAGACAGGAAGGAGAAGGAGAAAGACTGGGAGGAGAAAGGGGGGGACGAAGGAGAAAGACTGGGAGGAGAAAGGGGGGACGAAGGAGGAAGGGGGCGGCAAGGATATGAAAGGGATGACATCGGCTGAATAGCACAGAAAGAGGAGAGAAGGGCACACCTGTTGAGCAAGGAACTGCAGCGACCGCCGGACCCGAGCAGCACGATGAGAAGTCCAGAGGAGGACGAGGTCACGGAAGGCGATGACACCCTTCTGATAGACCGACGGGGTGTGCGCCTGTCTGCTGCTTCCTCCACGTCAGGTGTAAAACAGATCGGTCGAGTCGAGCGGGGAAGAGGAGGAGGAAGACATCAGGAGGGAGGGCACGAGGCTCACCAGCAGGAGGAGAGGTGGGCATCGTACTTTCGATTCTCCCTCTCGACGAGGAGGTTCAGCTCTTCATGCATCGAGTTCATCCTCTTGATCCAGACCTTCGCTCTCCTCCATCCCTCCACGATCTTCTCCAGCACCTTCAGCTCATCTTCTATCTCCCTCCGCTTCGACCCCCGCTCGTTTCCTCCGTTCACCCCGTCGCTCTCTGCGCTCTCTGCTCCGCCAAACCCGACCCCTTCCCCACTGCTGCTGCGGCCGTTTGACTCTCCTCCTGCTCCTCCTGCACCCCATTCTCCTCCTCCTCGCATGCCACCCCAGACTTCCACAGCAAGTCGCTCCATGAACTCGACCATGACAAGGGCAACGCAGTCATACAGCTGAGAGACGAAAGCAAATTCGAGAATTCGGGATGAAAGGAAAAGGGGAAGGGAAGGAGGACAAGTAACAAAGGGGAAATACGAAACAGGAAGGGTGAAACACAGGAGTGCAGAAGAAAGAAATGGAAGAAAAATGTCAGACACGAAACACCAATAAGGTCGATATTACTTGGGTCCATTCTTTCCTCGCGAGTTTCTTTACCACCTGTCATCGGCATGAGCTCCGATCTTTATCGTTCATTCTTCTCGTCTTACATTACGGCATCTGCTTGCTTCGTCCTCGTCAAAATCATCTTTTTCCATTCTTATTCTCAACCAGTTCCACCCTGGTAAGACAGAATCAGTCTCGAACTTTGAAAGCACCACGTGCATTCATTTGTTTTCAGCATTTTGGAACGGGCAAATCAAAATCCGATGGCGTGAAAGCAATAAAAACAAGACAACAACGATGTCGAGTAATGTCTCTCGGGTAAAACATAGCAAATGAATGCTACAACAGCGCATCGATTCCGGCAACAGCACCAACTAAACCATCCTACCTGTCTGCAATTCACCAAAGACTTTCTCAATCTTTCTTCGTGTTTCTAGCCTGAAATGCTTCCATAACGGTCCATCCTGTAAACAAGAAAAGTCATCTCCACTTTTAGCTCCATCTCCACCATCATCACAACAGCCATCTCCACCTTCACCAGAAATCAAATCAATCTCTCTCACCTGGATCCGATCAGAGTTCTGTCCAAAACAACAATCTTTCTCGACGACAAGCTGGGATACACTCAGTCCTTCGCTCGTTTCCCTCCGCTTTTCTCTCCCCTGTTCCCCTGCCTCCTCTCTCCCTCTCGCCTTCTTAATCGTTCTCTCCTCCCCATTCTCATCCCCTTTGCTCTTTTGTTTCTCACCTCCTTACAGAACTGATACCACAGCACATCGGATCTCAACGTAAGCGACCATTTCCGGCAAACTGACATGCACAGCAGCAGCATGTCCTTCCACCCGACCCGGATCGCGATCTGCATCAGAACTTCTTCTGGAATGTTCCAGCGGAATTTTTCCTGCCCGCTGCTGCCACGATGACGATCTGAGAACCGGCGACTCTCTGAGGATGCAAGAGGGGAGCCATGGCCTTCCCCACCACCCCCTTTGATGGCAACCAGGCTGCTACCTTCCGCTGCACCCAGCCTCTTCCTGTCCAGAGCCTCGTCTTCCCCGTCACTCTCGTCCAGCAGGTCCTCGAGCATGTTGAACTCGTCCTTTGCGCATTCATCGGCATCGGCTCGAGCGTTGGACATGGTTTGTGCTGCGTCGCCAGCGACATGGTCTCGGGGCGATGTGACGGATGAAAATCGACCGCTGAAGCCATGAAACTCCAGGCTCATGACGAGATAGCGATATAACAGGATGCTGCTGCACTTGGTCTAGCTCGTTTGAAAAGGATCTGCGGCAAAACGTAAGGGCACAGCAAAACCACGATGATACGGTATTAGAAGAACACATTGCAAAGAACGTGACATTCATGATTCATGGTTTTGAACGCCATGCCATGCGCAGAGCAGATAATATTCATAGCAAACACTCTGCCACTACCTTCGTATACCACCAGTGTCACCAACGTGTCAAGTTTGAAGCATCTCCTGCACACTTTCACTTGTTCGTAAAGAATTTTCTCTTCGTATCCCCCCTACCAGCCTTTCCGTGTTTGCTCATCTGTCGAGCCTCCCACATCATTCTTCTGACCATGTTCATGAGATGCTCTTCTTCTCACCTCCTTCCCTCCCTCCCTCCCTCCTTCTCCTTCCCCTCCCTCCTCCCCGCTCAAGCATGGCGGCTCATCTGCAACCATTCGGCTTCGGCCTGCCGGGCCGAGACTTGGTAGGAACTGAACTACTTCCAACCGTTACATCACAGTTACAGTCGTTATTCTCTTCTTCTCGGGGGTCGGGGTGGTGGGTGTTGGGGGTGGGGTAGAATCGTTTTGTAGACAGTGGGTGGGTACAGGTCAATACAGACATGAGACCAGGGGTAGGTGGTAAAGATATGTGAATTTTGGGAACAGTGGGACTATCAGCAACTGAAGGGCTAGGTCAGAGCATATGGATTATATATTCTATCTCATTTATGAAAAGAGCTCTCTATAGGACGTGTTGTTCGTGTGTTCCATGTTTTGTCAAATACTACCGGTGGGTGGGTTAATAAGGAGGTCAACTCGATTGGGGAAGGGGGGTTACGGTGTAGGTAGGATCCATTTTGAAGGAGGCGTTGTCGGAATGGTTGGTGGAATAATAAAAGTAGTACCACCTAGGTAGCCGATTATTCGATTGAAGCTCTAATATAAAATGGATATCCCTCTGACTTGGCCCTATAGTGCCCGCTACAGAGGAACTGCAGACTCCCAAACTCTTTTGTCTCCCAATGAGAGTACCCACCCACCCCAGCTTTCCATACCCCCCCCCCCCCCCCCCCCCGGCGATGCCCCGATGACCCACCCATCCTACACTTGATTCCCGGCTTTACTTCATCACCCCCCCATGTCTTTGACTACCTAATTGTTCAGCAGCGAATTTGCCACACATATAAGGCATAGCATAGAGGAAGCTTTTTCTAAGTCACCTATTAGTAAATATTTCATTACATCTGATGTAATACCCTCCACTGCATATGTCATGACCCATATAGGGTAGGTAGGGCGATCAAGGGATATATCATGCTTTTCCAGCAGGGGTAGGGGGTGGGTAGCCATAATCCAGGGGGGGGGTTATACAAAACAGCGGTGGGTAGGTTGTTCATAGCCGACATGTTCAATAACAATGGGGGGAAAGGGAAAGGAAGGTGAAGAAGCAGCAGCAGGGGCAGCGAGGCGGCGGGATGAGTGAGAGGAGAGGGGACATAGATCATGACAGGTCTTGCCTAGAAGAAGTGAACTAGGGTGGGACTGATCAGGGGAGGGAAGGAAAGTTCAGGACTGCTGGAAGGAAAGTTGAGGACTGCTGGAAGGAAAGTTGAGGACTGCTCATACATCTGACTATCGAGCAGGAAGCAGGGGCTGATTGGAGGTGCAGGGCTCGCTCTCATCTTCGTTGTAAGTGGTGAATCTGACTGAAGTTTGACTGGAGATCGAAACATGTGAAAGCTCGGAACTTGCCTTGTCCGTCAAAGAATGTCCGCCAACAACTCAGACAGCAACAGCAAGGACTTGGATGGCTCCATGGGCGATGCAGATACTGGGCAGGATGAGGCGGGAGGAGCAGGAAACAACAAGTACCGCAGGAGGAATGTAGAGAGACATCTTGCAGCGGAGAGGGATCGCAGGAAGGCTACGAAGAGCAAGCTGCAAGAGCTGGATGCCCTCCTACCAGACTCGTCGAGCGGGCCCAGAACACTGAATCAATGCTTGAAGGTGGCATGGGAGCATATTAACGGCATTGTCAAGGGAAAGCAGGCAGGTGGCAGCCAAGAGAACTCTCAAGCTGGAGAGAGGTCTGTCCTGTCCTCTGCGATGGAGGCAAGCCCGAATGTTGGGGTTGGGGTTCTGAACAGGGAGTGGAAGTTCGTGAGAGCGAATCAGGCACTGACGAAGGCAGTGAGCAACGGCCAGCCCCTCCTCGGGGTCAGCCTCCTCTCGATCGTGAACCCCTCCGATTCTCAGCCACTGGCCGATCTGCTCTCGAAGCTGAGCAGGTCGACGAGCAACGGGGGGGATAAGGTATTCATCAACATTCGATTTGCCGCCAGGGCTGGGTCAGCGCTCGATTTCAATCGCTACTACAAGCTCGACATCGTTTCTGTCAACGTGAGACCGAATGAGAAGGTTCAAATCCTCCTCGTCTACTTCGGACCCTCCTCAAGGTATCCCAACGTCGGTCCTCAGCCTGCTCCCCGGCCGCAAGGCCTTAGCCGGGCGGAGGAGCTGGTGAACAAGATCCCGATACTGCAAGGACTGGATCCCATGACGTTGTTAGAGGTCCTTTCGATGGCGCAGACTGCAGTTCTCGGCCCGGGAACCACCATCATCAACGCCGGGTATCCCCCGGGCCCGATGTTCTTTCTCGAGTCTGGCAAGTGTGTGGTGCAAGTGCGAGGGCGGCAGGTTGCCATGCTGGACGCGGGGGACTGCTTCGGTGAGATCTCGCTGCTGTCAGCCGAGCCGAGGACGGCAGATGTCATCACGCTGACCCAGAGCACCGTCTTGCAACTCCCCGCTGTCCTTTTCCTGCAATGCGCGCACTCCAACCCAGCGTTGATGGGTAGGCTCCAGAACCTTGCGAACTCAAGGTTGCTGCGCGATTCGGGCTCCTGGAGCCACTCCACGGGGCTTCCGATCGGAATGGGCCCGGCGCTGCTCGGGGTTCCTTCCCGGCCGATGCAGAGCGGAGGGTTGCAACAGCTGCCGCAGCTCCCGGTCAAGGTTGAGGGCTCGCTGCAGTTCCAGCCAGGCGGTGCCCAGCCCTTATCTTTTGGCATGCAAGCGCAGGGAGGATCGTTTGACGTCAAGGCGACGCCTGAAGAAGCTCCGATGGCGCAGAGCAAGGCAGCTCCGAGCCAGCTGGGCGCGGAGCCGTTGAGCTCGTCGAGTAGCTGGAGTAACTCCCAGTCAGCTTCTCTGCAGCCATTTGGAAACCAACCTGAGGTTTCCAGCGAAGTGACCAGCCAAGGCCTCGTGAGCATGATCGAGGCCGGAAGCAACTGGGGAGGGGGGGTCGTGAGGAGGAGCAGCGGGCAAGTGGCTAGGCAAGACTCCATCATTCAGCTCATCGGGGACATCGCAGGAGAGGCGTCCGAGCCGATCGCTGGGCCATGGGCGTCGGACTTTGCAGATGGCGTCCTCGATGGAGGGAGGAACAACCTGCACAATCGATCGCGCACAGCGACGCCGGACGGAGCGCACAGGTCCATGTCATGGGACAGCTTCGTGCGGGGAGAGTGCGACTTTTCGCGCCACCTCGCTCCTGCATCTCCTACCTCCTCTCACAAGGACGGGCACGGAGGACGATCGGAGCAACCTCCGATCACGACGGAGAGGTTGACTCGCTGCCAGATGATTTCGAGCTGCTCCCCGTCCTGCATCGCCGACATGGCCAGCAGGCTGCGGTCAGTCGTGGCGGAGGAAGGGGATGTTCTGGTGCACCAGGGGTCGCCAGGGCGGTCGCTCTTCTTCATAGAGCAGGGGACGTGTCATGTGATCGTTAACGGGCTCGTCGTGAGGACGCTGGGGCCCGGCGAGTGCTTCGGTGAAATCTCTCTGATAATGACGGAGATGGCAACCGCGGAGGTACGTGTTGCAGGCTCCCCTGCCTCTGCCCTTGCCTCGTCCTCGAGTGCGATGCTGGCTCCTTGCGCTGGCATGCTCTCCACTCCTCACTCCTCTCCTCCTCGCTCGCGTTCTCGCTCGCACGTTGTTGACTGGTCGGGGATCAGGTCATAGCCATGGAGAAGTGCGAGCTGCTGGAGGTAACGTCGCTCCTCCTCCTCCTGCCCTTGTGTTGACCTTGCGTGCCTTCAGCTCCCTGCGCGGGACGTCTGGGTGCTGCTGCCCGAGTATCCTGACCTTTACGGGTTGCTGAAGCAGCAGGTGAGGAGCAGGAGCAAGAGCAGGAGCAGGAGCAGGAGCAGGAGCAGGAGCAGGCGGGGGTTGGGGGGGGGGAGGAAGGATAGGTGCTGGGGATAAACGTGGGGAAGAGAAACAGGAACGCTGACGGGCAGTCAGGCAATAGACAACATCAATAGGGCTGGGATCTGCGACCTCTCAGCCTGGGGGACATATCTCCCAAGACCTCGCCGGGGAGAGAGATTTTGAGAAGCTCTTGGC